ATACATACAAACAATATCCATACTCAACAATGAAAAACAAATACCAGCAGCGTTAGGTTTTGTATCCGTACATGTTAAGTCCAGATCACAAACTTCTCTTTAAAAATGAGGTGTCAGTTGTGATCACTATAACTGAAATGAACTCATTCAAAGGTAAAACGATAGTCCTTATGTGTTGAATGACGACCAATACAAATAAGTTCTGTTGTTTTTCAGTAGCGGACTGGTCTTGCGCTTTTTGAAAATTCAAAAGACAGTAAAGCTGAAAACTAAAGACACTACCTCAAACATTTAGATAGTTAGAAGAAACGGGAAGTTTTCGTCGACATCACAGTGAAATACATCTCGTAAGTCTCCAAAACAAGTCGTTTCTTCAAAGTGCACTGTGTTCAACATCCAAACTATTACTATATAGTTTTTTTCTTAATTTAGAAGTCTGCAGTCAGCTATGCAACTAAGAATAATATTCTTCATGTTTCATTGATGTGCTCATTACCTGATCGAATGTAAGTTCAAACAGAACGTCTAATCCGTATACGGATCACATGTATCCAAATAATGGAGTAATGAACGTGGCTAAATAGATTTGAAGATGTCGATACACTTGTCTCTTAATCCACACTAATTCACTCTTGGATGTTTGATATCATTTGTCTGGTTAACCTCATTGATATTGGTTAAAAGTCTTGACAATTTTTATCACTTGACGAGAAGTACTTCACAGAATTTCAGATGTATACAATAGAATATCCAACAGGCATTCATAGTTTTTCAGGCAAAAGTTGAAGTTATTTCAAATTCTTGTCAAGTGATCATGGTTATGCGTCTAACATGTATTTAACTTTGATGAATTATTCACTGTGTTCATTTCAACTCACGGCTTCCACCCACTCTTATGCATAAGTTTCTCATGACAACTACTAAGACAATTATCATGGTCATGGTACATGACTTCACAGAGAAATTGATACATAGTCATAAACGTTTCAAATCGCTTTCATATTCGTCGATTCAAACGAACAATACAATTCATAGCTTTTCGAAGATTGACATCATCCTTTAAAAGCGCCTTTATAATCTTTATCTTGTCGGCTGTCCATTGAAATTATTTAGAAAAGACATTCAAACAATAATTATCACGATGAAAAGGGTGCTCACCGGTTTCAAATAAGTAACATATTCATGTTCACCGAGTTTGAAGTCGGAGTTCACAAGATTTCGATTTGTTGAGACAGTTACACCCTACGGATAAAACCTGCCTCTGTGAGCAGGTTTTCGCTTGATAGAGATTTACGTCCGACAAGAAAGCTTACACACTCTGTTATCACTGTGCGTGATTGTATAGCCAAGTCATATCACGTTCCAGATTAACTGCCTACTTTCGTCTGTAAGGGTACTCAGTTTTGTCAACCCAATAGAAGCCTCAGTTTAACTGTTGGGAATACTTTTACCTAGATAATTATTCTTGAGAACAGTAAGAATTTATGACAGTCTCTTATTACTGCATTTCTGTTTGCAATTTCACGTAACCGTAATTTATTTTGATCAGTTTTACATCAGGTGATTGACTTTAAAATTGTATATTTTGAAACGGTATGCTCTGATTGTCAACTTGCTATCAGATTAAATCAATAAAGAAATCCCTCTATTTTGATAGTGATCTATATTTGTTTATATTTTTATTGCGGTGATGATTGCCCTGAAACGTTTGATGCATTCTATAAAACAGGCCCAGATATCTGTCCATAGTAGTATCTCAATCGGAGACTGCGAAGTTTGTAAATCATCCCCGGCTTTCTCAAATCGACAACCTTCCGCTGAAAAGTATAAACGTTGTTATTGATGTAAGTTTTATGATTTTGAAACGTTTGAACAACATATTATTGGAACATAATCTCAAATTTAAGAAATATCTTGCATTAATAACTCAAACGTATAAAACTTATGTATTTCACCACTGGGACGGATACTTAGCCTTTGCATGGGCTCTAACGAGAAACTCCAGATATAGCTCCAGTGATCAGTGGATATGGTCATGCGCTATTTTCACATTTTACCTTCTCTGTCTTAGATTTCTGTCAATCCAGATATATTCCACTACGTGTTTTACGTTAAATACGGCTTCTATTTGTCATATGCAGCATATATGACAACCATTTATGTTGAAACTATCATCTTCCTAATTATAATTATTATTTCTATTTATCTCGTGATAAAATGTTTGACATTCCTCATTTAGCACACGTTGATTTTATTCACTTTCTTAAATGATTTTTCGTTTAAAATCTCTTTCAACCAAAAAGCGCTGATTTAAGTTTTGTGTTATTCTTCGTGATTTTGGTTGTAGTTTATGAATTTCCCAAATCGACAATCTTCCAGTGAGACGTATATATGTTGTTTTTGATGTAAGTTATGAGATTTTGAATGACGAACGAGTTCCAGACTCACCAGGATACTTGATACATATTCCTGCTTTTTCCGTGTTTTCGGTGATGAGCTACCATACATGGATTGCTTAGTAAAAAGAAATCTAAATGAAAATCTAAACTTATCCGTTTACCAAAATCCTACGCACTCAAATTGTTATATTGTTTTCCATTATGCACATACTTTTAGTGCTAAGATCTTGCTACCATTAAATCTTTTTAGAAAAGATGACAAGATCATCACATCAGAGTAAGACAAACATAAAAAACAAAAGAATGTGATTGGCATCTTGTAATTTAATAATTTCACTATGAAGATTATTAGCAGTATATTAAATCAAGACAGTTTAGTACGTTTTAATAATGATTCGAATGAAATGTCATGGATTGGTACTGCAGTTCTACCATACGGTCAGGGCACAACGGAAGAACTTCAAAGAATATTAAAACACCACACAATTTAAGTATAATACAAAACAACGAACACACTACGAAATACTTTAGTTCGCATGAGAGAAAAAAATTTGTTCATGTCCACAAAAAACTATGTCTACAAATTAGATCGTATCGACTGTGATGACTACTATATTGTAGAGTCATCTAGTGAAATCTTAACTGAAGCCAAAGAACATATTAGGTACACAAGGAAATCTCCTAACAGTCCTGTAGAATTGGATCAACTTCAAATTAAATCGGCAATAGCAGTTCAATCCATTTTCAACAACCACAAAATTGATTTTAAAAACATCGAAATATTGCAAGAAGGCTTTTCCAACTACAAAGAAAGGAGAGTAGCTGAAGATTTCTCTATAATGTTTAATCCTACTTTGCTCAATGGAATAGAAGGTCTCACCATACTTCCTACTTGAACCATCTATCCTAGCCATTCAGTTTGATCATATTCACAGTTCACACTATCGCCTCACAAATTAAACTCCATCCTTTCTCACCATAAGTGTCACACAATTTTTCATTCGTAAACAGTGCACATATACATACATACAAGTTTACATACATATCAATTAGGAGTCACCTTGACAGAAATGACATGATGTTAACTTGTTAAGACCTGCTTTTGATTGATAAATATCATTCTTATTGTTCCGTTGTACTATTTAAACTTGGATTAATTTTAATTTGGTTATTCATTCTCTGAAGAAGTGACTTACACTAAGTCACGAAACGTCAGAAATTTTAATTTTCTACTCCTTGGGATATTACAGATATATTATTTTTTTACATAGAGGGATTATTTTGACTAACAAAGGAACTAAAATACGAGCTTCAATAATTATCGGACGTATAACGAAGACTCGTGAACTGCAAACTCGAGAAAATCAGGCTAAGTTCACACCTTGTTGTAGCTGTATCGACCACGTCATCACCATTTGTCAGGTTCAAGGACAAATGCATGCTTATAGACGTCCGACAATGATGGTTTTTCTCGACTTAAAGGCAGCATTTGAATCTGTATACCGTGAGATTTTGTGGCATTATCTGGCATTGAAAGGCCTATCTTAGAAGTACATAAACCTTGTTAAGGCTCTTTATTCGAACGCTAATAGTCGAGTCAGGGCACATGGCGAACTGTCACCTGCTTTTGCAACATCAATTTATATCCTTCAAGCCTGCATATTTTCTAAACTCTTGATTACCTTCATCAATTACGTCCTGATGGAAATGACATTCTCGTCGACATCGAATACGTAGATCATATACTCATATTTGGTGAATTCGCTGATTAAACGCTGAGTCTTCTGGTAGCACTGAGCAACAAATCCAGAATGTTTGCAGTATTGTGCTTACTACAACTGATGTTTGCAGGGTAAAGATAAATTCATCATTTTATCTGGTCACTTATTCGTTTGATGTAACAGCAGCATCTGTGTAGTACTGTTCAATCACTCACTCTTCATTGATGTGAACACGAAACGTCATGCAGGTCATACATTATATCAATATAAAGCAGAATAGACGATGAGATTAAAGTGATTCACTGAGATTGACAGGTTCTGAACACCAGTGACCATAAACTCAGAGACGTATGAATTTACATATTAAGAGGATGGTTTTAATTGACATTCATCGACTCATTCAACATTCTTTTCTCCAAAGGAATCATTCCTGACAATTCCGCAATTGTATATAAGTTTGTCATTGACCATTGCATGAGATATAGTTTTCTATTTGTTGATTGATTTTTAAAGAAGTTATCCACATACAAATAAACAACACATGAAACATGATATGTTTAAGTAGTTAACGGAATATACAAGTATACATGGTCTGTTCCGTCTGACGTCAATACTCTGTAGAGTCTTCCATTGTCCATTGAGCCTAATAAAGCAACACGATCATTCATCATTTTAATTTCCTTGTGTCATTACGTATTCGTTCAAGATGAACTATGAGTTAATTCGGTTTGTTCTATTTCTAACCGAATGACATATTCTACTGCTCATTACAAAACAGCTTAACCAAAGTTCAATAAAAAATACTCACAATTTAAATAGGTGGATCCAAAGTAATTGGTGAATTGTATTATAAATTTGTGTAATTTTACTGGATCACTTTAACTGTAAAATTCGGAATCATTCCAAGTGAGTTTGTCTATTTCTTTCGAATGGTTTGAATTAGACATCAGTTTAGATTTGTTGATAAGTCTTAATATAATTAGCAATAACAATGGTTGCGTTCGATGTTATAGGCTGACAACAATACAGAACAGTGAAACTAAATGATTTCAATGAGTTTTCATCACAAATAGTGGAGAGATTTCCATGTTCTTGTGCATTATTCTTAGAGAGTATGTTAATCGTAAGAGATATGATTGAAATGGATATTACTTGTCAGAAATTTGCAAGAATTTCAATTTCTATTCAAAACCATGTTTATAATGATCTCAAAAGATTCACCACACATTCTACTCACAGTGAAGAACGTTATTGAGAGGCTGGTAATATACAAGAATCAACAACTCATCAATGTAAATGTCGAGCAATGCAAAAATAATCTGGTCCCTCTGCATAAAAGATTGGATGGAAAATTATCATTCATTCCAACAGAACAGCAGAAAATGAAGAGAAATTAAAGGAGAATCTTAAACCCCGACAGCCAATGTTTACTATCATTTTCAGCTTAGTGGTTTAAACTAAAGTTTGCAATTTCATTTTAATTAGGGTTAGGTATTTGACCAATAAAAACATACCATCGTTCACTGAAATAAAAAGCTCATTCATTATAAGAGATTATGAATAGATAGTAATTCTTAGATCCAGTGCACACAGTGGGATCATTAGAATATTTAACAAAGTGGAAGGTCGATCATGCTTTGTTTGCATGACATTAACTTTTTAACTGCGCCCAAATGACGAAAAATATTTCATCGTAAACGAAATAGCCAAACATTAGAATCAAAATAATACCATTTAGTATTATTTATTGCGATGAATAATTTCGTCAAAGTTAAATATCTTCACAGGAGTGAGTGCACTAACGTTGATGACCGGAAACCACCGAATGCAGTGACCAGTAAAAGTGAATCTAATGCGATCAATTTTCTTTGGCTTTTATTCTTTTTTATTCAGCTCGTAATAATGATACAGCAAACTAATCAGATGAAATTCTGATTCTGCCCATGAATCCAGACTTGCTGAAATGAAGTGAAAACGGAAAGGAATAGACATTTGAATAGATAATAAAGGGTTCATGTAATTCATGAAATTGAATATTTCCATTAGTGCATTCTAAATTCTTGCTTATTTCAGTCAAAATTAAAATTACTGGTTTTGGAATGTGAATTTTCAAATATGAATTATTCAAAAATCTCCATTGCAGGCAGTTCAACGACGATGAACTTCTCATTTGATATTGCGTCAACAAAAATCAGTTCGAAAAATTGTAGTTGCATGTAAGACATTCGTCATTCCATTTGACAGACTAAGCTTTGAACGCCTTCGAAGTTACTCTCAAGTCTCTGACGATCCACTTTTTCTCACTGGTCTCGTTTTATTGTAAGTAATATATGGTTATATATGTGTATCTTAACGTTGATGTTTTTGTGTATTGCTAATTCAAATCATTCAAAGAACTAATTAATACGCTGTGATGAAAAACGTGATCCATGTTTGACTGGAATATTATAATTGAAAAAAGAAAAAAAAGGAAATTTGTTCTTACTGCTCGGCATTGTCATTCTGTGTTGCATTATATCATAGTCAATGATCATATATATATATATATTTCAACACACAAATATTGGTAAATGGGGCACAGAATACACATGTGCCACACAAGTTACTTGATTTGTTAGAACTCTGATACTACCTAAACGTCCAGACTGAAACAGGTGAATTTAGTCCAGTGTTACACCTGAAGCTTTCGAAATAAACGTTTGGTCCACAAGGCAGTGGGACAGCGTATTGACATCTAGTTCCATGTTAGCCAGTGACCGATAATGGATTTAAACACCTATTGTTCTTTCGGGATCCTGGAACCCATGTGCACCATTAGTTTGTAATCAGTATTTTCCAACCTACGCATGTTAACTCTCCGTGTCAACTTACCCGATCAAATCCTCGGATATTCGCTCTTCGTCATCTAAATTTCGTGCACAAAACCCCTTGCCACGAGAGTGCAGTGTTTAGGACTTCTCTGACAGTGGCTGTATTTGCGTGTTTTGTGAGAGCGATTCGAGAGGAACAGTCTATTCTCGCTAACGTCGAGAGAAGTAGGTCATTTCAGGAATGAAATAAGACAATTACGACGTCCACTCATCAAGTATTCCTTTCAGAGATTATTTTGGCAATTTTAACATAATTTACAGATTGTTTAATTGAGTAGTTGAAGAACATCTTCAACCACAATATGTACTACATTGATGCACATTAGTATGGTCTAATGTATCTGTGCTTTAGTAAGCAGGATATTTCTTTTGTTTGTCAGATTTATTGGATTATTTCTTGGATTATTAATAATAATCATTAGGAAACTAAAGTCCCCATCTAAAATGAACAGTGTCTTCATCGTTATAACCGTGAGTTGAATATTACTTAGAATGATAATTATGATGGTTTCATCTAACTATTGATTGAATTCTGTTAGGTTTTCTTTGTTGAATCATGAAAATGTTGTCATATTAGTTTTATAATGGCAAGCATGATAGAACAATCCTTGTACTCTCATCTAGGTTCGTTGTTATAACAATTTGTGAGATACATAGCGGGTTGTAAACACAAAATACATAAACAAATTTGATTTCTCTCATTTTAATTTGTATAACAATACAAACAATTTATCTACCACTGAACGTGTGTTCTATGATACACAAGTTATCATTCAGTGCAGCAGGTCGCAGACATTACTTGCTGTTTTAGTTCTTGAATAGCCCGAGTTAGTGTAATACAAACCATTTAGGTGACAAACCCCACATAACGTGGTCATGTGTATTGGATGAGCGAATTAGCTATGAAACTATTTCAAGTTCGTCATTATTATAGAATTGGAAAGGGATTCGTTTTTATGTGCTTGAATCCATAAATATTAGTTTCTTAGAATTTTAAACAAATACAGAACAGTGAAAATTATTCTTTCATTATTTGTCAAGTTGTTGACCGGTTCAACGTCTGAATTAGCGTTAATTTGAAACTAAATTCTTCCTTTTCAGATGATAATTATGACTGTTGGTTTAGGATTACTAATTTCTTGTGAAAAATGGTACGAAATAACAATTTCTCTACCTGCGGCTACCGGGTTAACCATCGTGGCCATTCTAATGGGTATAAGGTTAAAAAATATAGAAAAGAAATTCAAGATGATCTTGTTAACGATATTTTGTGTAGCTACAGTAATTGGATTGATTCTCTTTCTTATCGGGTTGATATTAGAAGACGTAAGTTGATGTAATCATATTTGTTTCCTAAACTGGTAGTGATTATGAATTATTATTATTGACTAGTTAATGGTTTCATCGAATAGCTTAAGTCTTCCTAATAAAATTTGCTGATTACGAAGACAGTGAAATCTTTCTTACACAGAAGTAGAAATATATTTGCCATTCATAGTACATTGAAGAATATTCCAAACAAATCATTGATTTCTGATGCATATTCAGCTACGTTGAATGTTTATTCGCATCACTTTGAGTTCATTCTAAGTACAACGTTATTTAACGCCATGATGTTGTCATCACGCACAAAATGCAAATTAAAATCAGTTTCTTCCACACAAAGATTGAAACCGGAGAACGTCTGCAATCTGTTGTGGAGTTTACACTACCTGTTGTTGATACAAAGCATCATGAATTAACGTCACTATTTGAGAAATTGATTCTCAGTTCTATCTATGTATTATGATTTTGTAACCAAACGGTAATTATAGCAACACCAGAACAACACATCTTCAAGCAACGGTTTCACACTCGTGGAGTTGTTAGCTTAAATGTTTGATGATACAGTCCCTGGCGAAGCTTGTTCGTTGTCTAAATATATGTCAAACATGTGACAAAACACGTAAGTGATAAAGAAATTCGGAATGACAAACTAATGAACTCTTACGTGAACTTTGTTCATATTACTTTGAAATCGGTAGAGTTGACTAGTTGAGTAATACTGTTTCTTCACTGATATTCATATAGATTCATGATGAATTGAGGTGAATTATTATTTCAATTCCTTCATTCTAGCATGTTTTACAAAGTGATGCCTGGATTTGTTGGTGCTGCGTTGCGTTTATTGTAAGTTCAGAATAAATATATATATGTTGATACGAATAACTGTCCAGTGATAATTATTCATCCAAAGATATCATTCTATGGAATTCAGAACTTTGATGCATTGGTATTTTGTGTATACAGCATTCACAGCAATTCACCAAGAAAAATTTGAAAGAAAATATTTCGAGATATGTAACTGAATGGTTGAAAGGGAGACAATGAATTGTTCAGTGGCTCAATTTATGCATACGATATTCTGTCAATAATTGACAGATTGAAGTGCAAAGCACTTAATTTTTATTTAATTGTGAATGTTGAAAAAAATAGGCTGGTAACCCTTAATCTCTATAGATTTATTACTTCATTGGTGCATATGTTTATATGAATGAATCAATAATAATGTAATCATCTACGTTTTCATAATTACAGGGGATTATATTCGCAACAGATTATCTGCACATACACCGTGGACAGTTTTCTAAAATCTACGTTATATTCGTATTGTTTTATGAATGTTTTTTGCTTAACATCACTTCAGATTTTTTTGTTAGTTTACTGTTCGATTGTAATTGGACCAGTGTGAACAATTTATTAAATCCCGAACCACAACAACTGAATAAAACAATCATTAGACATGATGAACGGATACTATTTGTTTGAATTTCCTAATCAGTTTACAGATATCTTGAAGATCATTGTAAACTACTTTGTTATTTATAATTTATGTTCTGTTATTAAGACGTTTGCCTGATTGATTAAACTTTTGGATTGTGAATATTCTAATAAAATGCTGATAGACACTGAAACACATTCCAATTGTATTTGAAATTCAAACAAACCAAATTGACTGGAATGTTTTGTTCAAAGATCGTATTTTCCAACTACACACATGTCATGACTATGACACCTCGTATAACTTGAACACTAGAACGCTTGATCTGTACCAAGTTGAAATGAATAGACAAAATACTTGACAAAACAATTTTATTCCAGACGGTGTCGACAAATCTAGTGGTTTCACTATTGTTTCTCGATATCATTCCCATCTTCAAAATACAAATCATACAAGTTAATAAATTATTTGTGTCTGTAGAGGGGTTCTATAGAGTACTGAATGTTTTGATGGAGACATTAACCGATTGATTTTGGATCATCCTGGAAAACGTGGAAGCTATGTATGTCCGGTTGGTCCTATTTTGTCACTCCTCAAGAGTGCGCAACGGTCGTCCGGTAACTTCTAGTTTTTTCACGATGTTTAAACATCAATCGGTTAATGATCGCGATCAACATTGTTTATTTTTTGAGGGTTTGTCAGCTTGCAGAAATATTCTGAGTATCAAGGATGAACAGAATTTCACGTCATTGTTTAGAGTAGTGTCTAGTAACTCACCTTCTTTATTGCAGAGATATTGAACCAAGTTGAGTTGTCAAGAGAGGTAATCGGTAATAAATGTAAGCTCCTGGATACTGTGGAATTGACAGAACTAGTACTTGAGTCGTCTAGTGTGGATATTACATCATTATCTTTGGTATCAGATGAGCCCTAATCACGAGAACAAATTGACACAATTGAAAAAGATTACTGCATGCACCGAGAAAGTGAGTGTTTGCAAATTACAGAAGATCACTATTCAAGCATGCAAGGGCGTTATTGAAACCCACAGATTGAATTGCGTAGAATGCATGAGATTGTATATTATCTGCCCGAATAAAAATAATAATTTCAGGGGGTCGGTTGATGATTGTAGTTATTACGATTGCGTTTGGCGTTCTGTGTCCAGAAATTTGTTCCTATAGTTGTTGTTTTGGCAGTTTGAATTCACATCATGTCAGGACTGTTATATTAATGAATTAATATGTGGTAATTGTTGAGTTTAACGATTCTTGGGCTATTGATTGTTCATTATTCCCGGTTATGTTGCTGAAAATAGTTAATTCCACTTTATTTCCTTCTCTATAAGGACGTTGACATTCCATCCACCGAAAGCAATGTCAAAATCATATATTCACATTTAACATTTATTTGACGTAAATTGTTTGCAGAATCCAATAACGAGAGTATGGTTTCTGAATGATTATAAGAGTTAAATATACATACATGTGTCAGTATTGCAGCGTCAAGTGTATTTTGGACATAAAACATTTTAGTTATGATAATTATAATGATATACTCTCAAATAACAGTCTGTTACATGAAGCGTGCTGGTCAACACGCATGATCTATTTCTTTAAGTAGATAGTCTTGATAGTAGTGGTTCTCTCAATCAGTATGATATTTTATAGGGTCCAGTATTATGGCGAATAACAATTCTCACATGTGAATGCAACTAATGACCATTAGAGGGATTGGGAATCTGGAATTTTGAAGTAGAAGCATAAGGGTATAACCAATAATCATTGAGTAATGTGAGAGAATAAACCATCTGCTCTATCTTTCGGTCATATGTATATTAAGGACTGTTGTGTTTCGTTATATTCATGATCAGTATAAATATTAGGCGGTCTATAATAAAGTTCCTCGTTGGTGTCGTAAGTTCAGAGAATAGTTGATGAAGCTCTATGGTGTCAAGTAATAGTGTTATTAGTCTTTGAAATTGATGATAGTGTCAAAGTTACGGAAAGTTATTGGGAACGTGTTCTATAATAAAATATAACGTACTTTAAATAACTGACAACACAATGGTCCTCATCGTGTTACTGAAAGCAACGTATATTCGTTTATTCAGAGTCTGAAGACTGTGTCATAGATCGTGGTTGGACAAAACGTTAGAAATGTGAGTTTTATATAGAAATAATTATTTATACTCTGCTCAATTTAAAGTTCATAGGTATATCTTCTTAAATGTGTGATGGCACTGTGCCTTAACCACATGATCGTCAAAGTTGAACACGAATCGTTTGATAGATATTCAACGTTTAAAGCGGAGAAAAAGACAAGCGAAGGGAAAGGCGTGAAGAACAAACCCAATTATTTGAACTGATCGGCTCATTCCGCCTGGAGCCTCCTCTGGGGCCACTGCAGGTCTCAATGATGTATGTTCTCTCTTTCAGTATGGCAAGCCTTTCCTTTTTGCTGATGACCTGAAAGTAGTTTATTCATTCTCTTCTCCCATGAAAGAAAGCTATATTTCAGCGGTAATCCAGGAGGAAATAAACAAGTTGTACGAATGGACTATTTCGTGGAATATGCCACTTAATGTTGACAAAAGTGGATTTATTCACATTAGTCACTGTCTTAACTTAAATCTGACTGTACAGACACATACACTCAAACCTCTCAACTCTGTTCGTGACCTGGGTTTAAGATATAGCAACAGTCTGAACTTTTCTGAACACATTATATCTCAAGTATCCAAAGCTAGAAAGCTCATCGGATTGATAATGATAAACTTCAATAATATCGAATCGAGATTGTTACTATACAGAAAATGTATCTTACCCATTCTTCAATATGGTATTTTAGTTTACAGTAATTGTAGACATAATGATCTGATTAGAATTGAAGGTGTTCAAAGAAAGTTCACCAAAGCTGTTCTGGGGTATTTCGATAACAAAGACTATTACCAAAGATGTCAACAACTCAACTTAGAACCTCTTTGGATCAGACGTATCAAATTAAATCGTGTCTTTATCTACCGCCTCATTAACGGTATTTCTTACTCATCGGTATCCACCCCTTCATACCTTATAATATCATCCCACAATCTACGCAATAAGGAGAACATTCTAGCGATTCCAAGAACCCACACAAACTTACGTCAGAATTTTTTCCTTATTCGCTACTCAACCATGTGGAACAGACTGCCAGTGAACCTCCGTTGCAGTGAAACTAGAACCCGGTTCAAAAGTCTCCTTGACGATTTTCTTTCCGAAAGTGGATTATGTCACCTATTGAATATTAATGTATTCAATAATGATTTATACAAACAAGGTCCGTCATCTATTTAATTGCTTGAAAAGCAAAATAAAAACTGTAAATCTTTTCACGTCTATTTTGTATTATTTCTCTTTATCTTAATATATGAAGTCTGCTTATGTTCGTGTTTATCATTATTACCATTATTAATATCATTATTAGTTCCCCGACACATTAGGCATTCTTTTTATCTCTTCTTATCCTTCTAACCATATTTAACTCCAGATTGTCCTTTAAAATCAATTTTGAATTTCACAGCATCAATCTTCATCATTATTGCACAAATATTTATACTAATCTCCGGTTTCATTCTGTATGCTATTACATAAATCTAAATGTATTCATCCGAGTGCTTTAAAGGATTTTTATTTTTTATTTTTTTCCAATTGCTTGTTTCCTTCTGAGGTTGATATTCATTACACAATTATTATTCTTATCATGGATGAACCTTTTCACTAGGTGTTCACTTCTTTTCTCTCTCTTCTTCCCTTCTAAATAAATCTTATTCTTAAGATTATGAAGTTTCTAATTAAGACAATAACTTGTGTTACACTTAAATTAACTTCTCAGATTCGTTTTATCTTCACTATGGATATATGACTCATACAGGGTGATATTTTATCATCCTTTTCACTTAATTGTGACTTTCATAGCATCACTGTAAACTATAACTGCACATATATTTATTCTAGCGTCATATCTTACTACAATGATAAGTTATTTTTTGTTACTAATTTAACGATACACACATAGTGGTTTATTCTTCTTCTCTGTTCATAAACACGCCTATTAGACTGTTTGCGTATTTCACGTCTCCTTTATTTCTATTTCCTTATTTTCTCCATTTTCTTCTTTAAACTCAATTCAATATTCTTCTCAATTACACAGACCCGATTTATTATTATTAATATTCTATTATTATTATTCTAAATTTTTTTTTATATTTTATTTTTTAAATATGGCAAGTATAATGCTAACATTATTAACAATTGTGTATTATTGCATTTTCTGAAGAAATCCGAAATGGTTTCTTCACAACACTTATGTACCCATAAGATGTTTGTGAATAATAATAATAATAATAATAATAATAATAATAATAATAATAATAAACCCCGGTAAAAGAGGAGGGTTGGAAATAGTTACAGCGGTTACATCCTGTAGAAAACCAAAGCGCTAAATAGACGGTAACCAGAAAAAAAATAATTCAAGCCATTAAAAATCTGCTCTTGAAGTTGGAATGTCGTCATTTAGAAGAGTTAAGACGTGTCATGGTGAAAACGAGTTGCTTTGGAGGTGAGATGGCTTATGCCTGTTGTATCAACAAGAGCAACAATTTTTATAGGTTAATGAAACGTACAGATAATGTGGAAAACTGGGAAGAACAGTCAAATAGCAACGGAATTGAGGGGATACAACTTGGCAGGAACGTCATGTGCATGCTATAACGTTTAGAAGCACAAAGTTTTGCATATCAAAATCATCAAATTTTATTAAGAGGAATGTTAATAACAGTACAAGTAGGGATATACTACAAAAAGTGCTTCTCTTCATAGATTCGAAAACGTACTAGACTTTCATGAATACAAGTAGTTTATGCACGACATATCACAAAACTAAATTATAAAGTTTCAGAAGTCACCTTCAACGAATTCGAATTTCAGTGGAGTTTCAATGATATATTCATTTATTGTTATTTTCATTATTCAATATTATATTATCGTTGCTATAAAAAGTTCTCAGGAATTATGTCGCCGAGATTTTATTTGATGGACGACTTTTGAATACATCTTAATTGACCTTGAGAAATATTAGTCAATAAGCAAACCATCAGTATCGCGTAAAAATATGTTACACAAAACCAAAGAAATAAAATAGATACACTTGTTATACGTAGTTTGAAAGCTTGTCAGTGTTAAAAAAGGTTTCAGAGACTTTAAATTGTAATGCATGAAGAAGAGGAATTCATCCGTATGGCTACAGAATAGTCTAAATCTAGAGCCATGATTAAGTCTCAAAAACTATTTCATCCTCGACTACGTAGCATCAATATTGTTTGTGTGCACTACGGTTGTTAAGTACACAAAATGCGACTTGTGAATACTGACACGATGCAAAAAGTCAAGCATATGAAGTAGTCTGTATACTCTCCAATCA